CATCCATCCATCCATCCAAGCTCTACTTGGAGCCCCTCCTGAATAACTGAGGTCCTCATCCACACGCCCTCTGAAGGAAAGTCATTTCCACCATTTGTATCCAACCCTTTTCCTCTTGAGGTTTTTAGATCAAGCAAGCAAGTGCCCACAGCCTTTTAGGACTCAGAAAATATTATTTGCTCTCACCTGAGAGGACAGTGCACATGGCTGCAAAGGCATTGATCTTGAGGGCGTTCATTTCCCTCTTGGCGCAGAGGCACAGTGCTTCCACACACATCAGTAACAAGCCCATAGCCAGGAGACCGATGTACATGAACTCACTGATGACAGACAGCCAGAGCACACCTGGAAGCATTTAAGGACATAGAGACAATTTCTTCAAGTTAAATATTGAAGATTTTCTCTGTTGTGAGATGAAAATTTGGTGTCGGACCAACCTTGTGTCTCTCCTGGTGTCAGCTCAATGAAACTTCGACACTTTTCTTCCTGATCTGCACCTAAAAACAAGGGTTGAGAAGCTTGTTATATTGTCTTTAAATCTATAATGTTTACAGGGGTCGACCTCTTTTATACAAACTAGGTTTGGGGAGAATAATCCTTTGTAAACACTGAGAGGCACACACATACTTAAAGGTCAAATTTAAAGCTACAATCAGCTTTGAACCACAATCAGTCATAGTTGCAATCACTCCATCAAAGGATATAAGGCAGTGATTGCTTTCTGTTTACAGGATACCCAACATCACTCTGTATATGCTTTTATATGTGTGTGTTCATAACTATGTAGCCCATATGGCACTTGACAACAATACCAATGTTTTCTTTGGTCTTTATTATCATTTAGTTCGTGAAAAGAAGAAACCCCTTCAAGCTTCTTTTGCCATTAAGAGAGGATGGTTGCACTTTATTGTGTGACTCACATGTGTTAACTCAATACTACCAACAGTTTTTCCATCAGTTTTTTGCATAGCAACAATAATCCAGGCTTAGAAAGCAGCTTAAATGAGGTGCACTATATTAAATGATAGATTTGGACTCTGAAAATCCACAATCCCGATGCTGTGAACAAAATGTATTCAAATCTTCCTCTGAAGCTGAGTCAGCGAGATCACATGGGCATTTTCCAAGTTTGCTGTTTGTGTTTTATTCGTTGGACAGCATGTCCCTGTTGAGCTCCAGTGAAAGGACATTAAAAAAGAGGGAATAATAATTTATACTTAAAGAGGCTGGCATCTCCACTTGATTTGTAAAGCTTGGATAAAACCTCGCATGAAGATTAAAACATATGAATGTGTTTGTGCGTATAAAATCTTTAGACTTGTCCCCTCATGTTGAGATGAGTCCTCATAGAAAGCACATCTCCAACTTGTCCTCATCAACCAGCTTGCCAGTGACTGTTAAAACAAATAATATAGATTCCTGCAAAAAAATTTCAAATTGGCACAAATCTGTGAAGCAGTTAAAACACAGACAGAGGAAGAGGTGAGGTTCATTCTGTTTCACAAGATTTAAGAGTTTAAGAGTCTGCCAGGCTTTAAGTTACATACCTGAGCACTGCCATTGCAAGGTGGCCTCATGACCAATAAGGTTACAGTTGTGCATGTGATAATAAATAGTTTAATAAAATTATTTGCCAGGTATTTGTGCATAAAAATACTCTGCAACACTTATTAATTGTTCTTACAGTGAAGGCAGGAATAATCGAATGGCATACTAACTGCATTATTAGCTCTACTGACTGTTTACTAGCTTTTAATGCTCCTTTGACTGTGGCTTGTCCTTGAAAGAGGACAGACAAATGACTTGTCGAGGAAGTATTTGCAGATCACACCAAACTTTCACCCGAGACACTCAGATTTTATGCTTTTTGGATTTATTTTACTTATTCCTTTTTTTTTCTTTCCTCTTAGTTTTTTATTTATTTTGAATAATTTTAATATTAAAATGTGTTCCAGACACTTTCTAGTTTCAATTTCACTTGCAAGTAAAAAATGCTGTAAACGTTACTCACAGGGCTTCATGCAGGCTCTGTTTATTCACAGTTATGTTTACTGCAGTCTGAAGAGGCTATTTTAATTAATGCACATGAACAGGGTTAAAATTATATTTGAAAATCTGCTGTTGCCCATTTTTAAGTGATGTTTGATGCATTTTAATGTATGTATTAACTTATTCCTATCTCAACCTGCCTTTAGTTTTTGGGTCATTATGGTAATAAAAATGTTATAATTAAACTTGTTTTAAAAGGTAATTTATTTATTTTTTATCATTTACTTTTACATAGCCCCTTTGACACGAGAGTGTCATCTTGAGATTATGAAAGAAATCAGTTGAATGTTGCACGGAGACTTTTCTATGGAGGTTATTCAGGCACAGAAATCCCCCAGTTATTCGATCCCTGATCAAAGTCTGTTCCACTCACCAACCTTCATTGTGCTTCTCGCAGGACAGCCAGAAGCCGGTGTGGAAGTATCTCAGCATGTACTTGTCCTCCCCTGTCTCCCAGATGTAGTGGACAGCGTTGGCCAGCTGCTTTTTCCTTAACTTGGCCAGCTCCTCCTTCTGCTGAGGAGACAGCGTGACATTGGAGGCTGGGTTCCTGGGGTCTGGGGTGGGCATCTCTGGATGAAGAGGACAGGAGTTTTAGGGGGACAGAAACGGTATAAAAACCTTTTTGCTTGAAATGAGCAAACTTAAGTAATTAAAAGAATCATTTGTGTTCTTGTTTTTTCCAAGGAGCTTTTGCTCTAATAAAACTAGAGCTGCAGAAACATGAGAAAAGTATGTCAGCAAACAGTGCTATAAATCCTGAAGTAGGTCGCCTTTGGGTCACAGTGTGTAACACAATCCAGCCCTGAAACCTTGTTCTCCGTGTTATCAGCCCTTCTTTTATGTAATAAAAATTAAACACTACCCAGAGATAAAATTGGTTTAAAGCTGAATGATGGTAAAGTGGGTTAGCAAATCCAGACAACATGCAGCTGCTGCCATAAAGTGCTGAGATAAGCAACAAAGCCGGGATTATGTGAATCTCTGGCAATAAAGTCTAAAAATACTTAAACCCAAGCAGCTGTGGAGATCCTGTAATAGTAAAACTACTAATGCCCTACTGTAATAAGCAAACAGGAAAATAGTAAAAGTGACAGGGAAGCCTGGACGGTCCCACACCCCACAACAACATCACAGATGCACTTTGAAAAAGATCATTTTTGATGACTTGTGGCGTGCGACAACACTGTGGTGCACTGAGAATTCCTGCGCTCGGACTTTCTGCACAAACTGCACGTGCAGCCGAGAGAAATGAGAAATCCAGCTGGCAGAAGGCAAAAGAGAACTCGGAGAAAAAGAGATAATTCATGTTTAAACTGACCTCAGGGTGAAAACACTTTCTTAGAAGCTGGTTTTCATTCAATTAGGCATGTATCAAATGCTCCAACTGTCTGGAGTAAGTAGTGAACACAGCTTAGATTTGTTATATGCTCTTCTGAGGTGTCTTTAAACATCCATCAAAGCCAGTTAACATAAGCAAGACATTTTGAGAACTCTGTGCTTTGGCCCACGTGTGGCCCAGAACTTTTGCATAGGTTATGGAGAAGGTCTGGTCATGACAACCTAAATTTGTACCCACATAAGGAGGTGGAGCCAGTGTCAGGTTTGGCACACGGCACAGTAAGGAAGCTATACTGGAAAGCGGAGCACCCATTTCTAATGGGAGCACAGCAGACACTGTCAAATACTCAAATAGTTGTTTTCTTCTGAGTGAAGTGACCTGGAAACAGCAGCGTGGCACATAATAAGAGCTCTTTAAATTCTCTAAGGAAAGGAGCTCGAATCCTTTATTATCTCCCTTAACTCATCCTCCAAGAAACCAAAGGAGACAATGCTGTCCCATAACTCTGTCATGAAGGAGATGAGGACTCAAAGTGCAGGACTCACAGACTCAGGGGATGAACTCAAAATCACAGCTTTATTTGCTGGACACAGAAAAACGAGCATACAAAGTAAACTAAGCTAAACTGGGACACAATGAACTAAAACTCACAGGGAGACACAGGTGCGACACTGACTCAGAGAAACACAGGGTTTAAATACACTGGGAAGTAACGAGGGGAATGACACACAGAAGGAGACAAGGTAGCAAAGTAGGAGACACTCACATGAGACACAGACCTTCAAAGTAAAACAGGATTTAGCACAGACGCAAACTAGACTAGCGGAGAGAGCAACTAAGAAACACAGACAACACCAACAACAAAGAGACACAGAGAGCAGCTACTAAATACTCAGAGAACTAAACAGAATACAAGAATAAGAATAAGCTGGGACAACAAAGAGAACTAAGAACATAATACAAAAAACTCAGAGGCACAAGAAACTCAAAACACTGGGTCACTGACCCAGGACCGTGACAAATTCATAGTGACACTACATCAAACAATGAGCGAAACAGATGACGCAGATTATGTAAATGTTAAAAGTGAGTTTAACCTTTTGTGTCATAACCTGCAGAGATGTTTTTAGATACAAAACTATAAAGATTAGGTTGCTATGATAAATATCTGCATCTTAGCAAGTCGTTGCCTTCTGTAAAGAACGTCGTGTGTGAATTTATGAGTTTGTATCAGTTGCCTTTGCAGTTTGTTGCAAACTTAAATCATTTTAATTTTGTCACAAATATAGAAATCCCTAATAGTAAAGGCCAGAGTTACACTGAATCATCCGTCCAACTGAAAAATAAAATATCCGTGGATGATTGTTTGGTTTTATATGACCGGCAGTAAAAGAACAAAGCAAGAAGTCTATACAGCAGCATATAGTTTCACCTCTTCAGACTAATGTCAGCAACATCCATCACATGATAAATAAGTTTAGTGTATGTGCAGTCGGAGCCTGAGGATTTCCATCAAGATCAAAATTACAGAAATATTTTATTTTGGTTGATTTGTGGGATATTTGATCACAGCTAATCCCAAAGTACGGAAAACTACAAAAAAGGAAGTAAAACTACCAACAGTGCAAATAAAGTAAAGTCCTTCAGCTATCCTAAAATTCATTTTTTTAAGAAAACTATGCAGATAGTTGTGTCATTACTTCTGATTAAACTGCATCTGCTGTTACCATCAGTGACTTCAGCTGTTGCCAAATTAACCTTGAAATCTTTGAAATGTCCAGAATAAGCACCACGTGTCTTACCTGTGGTGTACGGCTGGCTGTTGTTCTGCCCGCAGTTTTTCATCTTGACTGGCGACAGGCAGACCGGCTTCACCACCTTGTGTGTCCCTTCGCACCAATAAGAGGTGCAGAAAGCCCAGACGGACAGCGTGAGGGCCAGAGAGGTGAGGAACAGCGACAACAGGGAGCGGTTACGTCTGGACATTTTCTCCAGCATGACTGTGTCTCGACTCAAAAGCAGCCAAATGAGAAATGAAACGGTTTTGGCAGGTGTGTGTCAAAAAATAGCTGCAAGAGCCAGACAGGTTCTGGTGACCTGTCTGGAGCAGAAGATTGGGGAGCTTTCTGCGATAATACAATAGAGATTGAAAATAAAGTGGTAGGAAAGAGAGAGAAGTGAGGAGAGGGGATTAGTGGTATTTGAGAAGTGGAACGAAGGACGGAGGGGAAGATAAAAAGTAGTCTGTTGGAGAGATAGAAGTAGGGCGGCGCTGGAGAAGGAGAGCTAGCACTGAGCAAAGGTCAAATAACAGTGGAATAAAGAAAGATGAAGCTATGGGATTTAATCTTTTCCAGCACAAAGGAAACGAGACAGATGTGCGGGCCAGAGGATGCAGGGGGAGCTCTAACTCTCCTCCTGCTGCAGTGTCACTTAAACGAAATAGGCATGATGAAGAGAAGCAGGCCAGGTTTAAATTTGGGACCTTTGTTTCCTTTTGGAGACTTTGGTCACAAATTTAGCCCATGTTTCCACTGCAGTCACCGCTCAGCTCTCATATTAATATCTTCTCCCCTCTCAGATAAAGACAAACATCTAAATCTTATCCTGTGGATTTTGAGACTAATCGCTTCCACTCTCAGGGCACATCCCGTTCTTCAACCTGTTCCTCTTGTGATTAGTCCAGCGTCTCAGGCCTACCTCGGGCCTGGTAATCTGTGGTAATCTTGCGGAGTTAGGTGGATGAGTTTAATGCTTACTGACACTCATGCTGTCATTGTCTGAACGACCACCTAAGAGAGGGAAAAACAGAGGATGGAGGCAAAGATCTGGGATTAGGAGTCATGAAGACAGAGTCACGTCTATGTCCAAGTGATTTGAGCTGCACTTGATCCTGCCAGGTGCCACATTTGTAAATTGGTTATATTTAATACAACGTATTAGACTCAA